GCACGTGAACCGACATCTTGGGGGGGCTGAGGTCCCAGGCGCGACTCATCATCGGTCGACTAGGACGCATCCCACACACACCACGCGCACTCCGCTTTACGAACACACATACACACAAAACAACATATATACGAAACGACACAATACCAACAACGCGACAACGCTCCTAGTCCCTCAGTAGCCAACCCATAACTTTCCAGTGCGAAAATCGGATAGGCGTCACGCGCTGAACCTAGTATAAAATTGCGCGGACGCAGGGCATACTCATATCGACTTGCAATGCAGGCATACACAAACAGTCACAACGATGGCGTACTATGTAGTGCCCATAATCGAGCGGTCCCTCGTGGATCCGAGTACCGCTTATGACACTCACGTGTCAGACTTGAAGTGTCGTGAGGGCCTAACCCTTCACGACATTGCACGGCTGAAGGAAAAGTCGTGCAACCGCTGCTGCACCTTAGGCTTTCGACCTGAGTGTCTCGGTAGGTAAATCAAATAGGCTCTGCGCGAGGGAAAAACTCCTTAGAGCCTAGGGCTTGGGATGTCCTGGACAAGGACCTCGAATCCCGGCCGAGGACCAAACGTCCGACTAAGAAAATCATCAAAAAGCAAGAGACAATAATAAAAGGAGAGACCTCCTCTAAGCCCCTCAGTCTCAACTTCTGAATCGGGCTCTAATGTGGGGGCTCTTCAACCCATGCAAACATTCATCCCAAGTATAACCATGTATACATATATAAGGGTTAAGTATGTGACGATCCTTTTTCACGGTCTCACTGGGGTTTCTCACAATAATATGTATATGTGTGATCGTAGGCAACCAGATTCAGAATCTGCTTCACAGCACATACCTGCAATCATATCAACGAACCAAATCAACAGCCCACAAACTACACGAAGTCAACCCCAGTCACCTTCGACACTCATGCCCCTCGCTTTAGCCATGCAAGCCCCAAACCTCCTTTCCAACCAACCTTAATTAAATACTCAGCACCTTTGTTAAATGGTCATTCAATAAAAGTGTGGGTGAAACCTTAATAAAACCACGAAATCACCAGGGTTAAAGCCTTTTAGGTTGAGTGTAGAGGGATAGTTGAAATTGAGTCGTAGACCGACGAATCGGCAACCGACCTGTTATCAGTGATAACAGTAAGTGATCCTCTAGGGATCAAGCTGGATCTAGCCCTGAACATGGATCAAATGATCAAAAGGACCTGTAACACACGGCAGACCAATCCCCAAGCTAAGATCATAAGTGTATGGAGAATACAACTCCATAATACATCCTCACTCAAAAACTTCCTTATTAGCTAAATCTAAGTATACTTTTAAGTCAGTGCTTAAGCTGAAGGTAGACCAACTACAAAGTCTCCCCTATTCTGGGTGGATTGCCTGAATCACCTATCAAAATATAATTTATCTCCTCTAAACGAAGAAAATTTTGGCAGCGCTTCCCGTAGGAAAAATGTCTTTTCATAATTTATATAAGCCGAGATATGAGAGCAGAAATAATCTCTAACTCTGGAAAGTCAAATTCTGTCTAACTCTCTGAATTAGTAGAAATTTGGGCAGCACTCCCTTTAGAAAGGAAAGCTTCTCATATTTATACTAAGTCAGATATGAAAGCAGAATTAATCTCTAATTCTGAAAAGTCAAATTCTGTCTAACTCTCTGAAT